ACGGGGGCCCGGAGGGGCCGCAGCGCGGAGCGGCCTTGGGCTTCCTCCCCGTTGAAGCCTTAGGGACAAGGGGCGGCCCGGGGGGAGCAGGAGCCGCCTCGTTACCCGGGCTGAGCGAGTCCCTGCGCCTCGGCCGCAGCCGGGCCGTGGGCCGAATTCTGCCCCTGGCTTTAAGGACCCCCCATCAGCCACCCCTCGGGGACACGGAGCCCGCTGGGGGCATCCCGGCCCCTCTGGAGCTCATCCCCAGCTTGGAGCTCCACACAAAACACACGGTTAAGGGGGAGCAGGAGCCGCCTCGTTACCCGGGCTGAGCGAGTCCCTGCGCCTCGGCCGCAGCCGGGCCGTGGGCCGAATTCTGCCCCTGGCTTTAAGGACCCCCCATCAGCCACCCCTCGGGGACACGGAGCCCGCTGGGGGCATCCCGGCCCCTCTGGAGCTCATCCCCAGCTTGGAGCTCCACACAAAACACACGGTTAAAGCCAGCCTGGATCAGCAGCCATCCTGCCGCCAAGTCCCAAGCGTCACCGTTAGCCAGGGAGAAGGCAGAACATTGAACGCAGTGCCCGTGTCCCTGCCAGCAAGGCACGGGTGAGGACACGCACCCAAGGTGCCACCCCACAGCGAGCAGGGCCCGGTCCTGCTGCCACCTGCGAGCAAAGTCACATCTCCAGGCGCCAAACGCCACCAGCGTCCTAAGCACGGGCACTCAGGGAACGATCCAGTGGGCAGGGTGGCTCATGGCAGTCCAGCTCCACTCAAGTTTATATTTATCTTCCCAGGTTTGCTAACACAGAGACCAGAGAAGTCTTTTTCCACATATTGAAGTGTCCTCATGAATTTATGTCACAGCTCTAGCTCATCAACAGGACCAGGTCATAGACCAGGCTTTTCACAAAAAAGGGTAAGCCACTACTTCCATTATACACCTTGGGTTTTCACTATACTCATTCCAATCTACAAGAAATAAATTTAAGTTTGTACATTCTAGGCATTATTATCCCTTCATTTAAACTGTTGAAGTTTGTACATTTTAGGCATTATTATCCCTTCATTTAAACTCCCAGGGGCCTGGAGCTGAGATGAAAAGGAGAACAGAACACAGGTTTCTGTAATCATTATCTCACATTCCTGCAGCTTGCAGTGGACCCCAGAAGGCCAATTCCTCACTGCGCTGCTGCTGTCACCTTACACTGAAAACGAGTGGCAAAACATGTGTTTCCACCCCATCCAGTAACAGACTTGCATAAAGTAATAAGCCAAGGGGAAGACATCTCCAACATGAATCTAAAAACTCCTACCTGCTGATAAACCTGTATAGACATCACTGATATGGAAATTGCTATTCTTTGCGCACGGGCACGTGAAAAAACAGTCATTAGAAGGAATTAGTCTGAAGTAAAATGCCTGCTTAGAGGGCATGTGCACCATGGCACTGTTCTCAG